TTTTTACAGCACTTTCACCAACTCAAAACGCACTTTGAGGGATATTTTGATGATTAAAAAAATTAATCTTTATATTATAAAGAAAGAGAGAGATTGAAGTTAAAAAACTCGATGAAAAATAATACAAGGAATAGCAATGTCGTCGTACAGTGGTTTTGCATAGGAGAAAGTTATGTATGATAGTTATGGTGTCCCTCCTAACTCGCCATTGAAAAGGTTCAATTGGATCCATTCATATAATTTAGTAATGATGGGAGAAACAAGATTTTTCACAATAAGAAAACCATTTTCCGCAGGATCGGAAACTGTACGTAATTCGTGCTAAAGCAATTTCTTTAAGAAAATTAACGTTAATCTTTTGGCTGGAAACATGAATTCAGTGTCTTTTTTCATTCACCATTAGCTCAAAATTTCATCCATATCTCAAAGTTTCATCTTAAACGGTACAAAAATAAATAAAATCTAACTTGAAATTATTTTTATCAAAAAGAGAAACTTTCAAAAGAAAAACTTAGAAATATGGATGGTTGAGATTCTTAAAAGAGTTTAAGTTTCGTATTAAATAAAAATGAAAAAAATAAACACTATATAAAAATGAGGATTTATAAATTTATTATTTTAAGATTTAAGATTAAAAGCAGGTCTCGTGTTCCATTGATTTATATTTTTTTGAATAATTCTCTCTAAAAAAAACTCACTATTTAAATATTCTTTTATATTCAAGTGATTTAAATAAAATTATTAATAGAAGGAATATTATTTGTAAGAGAATAATTTAAAATTTGACTGTACGTTTAAACCAAGTTATTTTATTGAAGATTAATATTTTTAAAATTTACATTTTAAAAGACTAAATTTATTAAGATTAATATTTTGTAAAATAATTTGATTTGAATTGTAATTAAAAAGAATTTTATATAAGTTTCTATTTTAAANGATTTTGGCAGTGAAAAGGTGCTGACAGAAAGATTTTGCAGATAAGGTAAAAATGGAGACAGATAAAAGAAAAATAAGACATCGTATAATAAATAATGCAATAGAAATAAATAAACATAGAAAATTTTATTATATAAACTATTTATGAACTGTTGTTTGAACAATAAATGTTTGAATTAAACACAACTAACATGCATGCACACAAGCTGTCTCATAGTTTCCTCCCACATGGCTGTTTTTGTCTTTTTCAAAAAGGTTACTTTTGATTTAGAAAATTAAAAATTTCTTTAATGCAAACTCTGGTTTAATTCAAAAAGATGAGTTTGAGTTCAATTTGACAAGGACAATGCAGCAGGAATAACTCCAAAAAGCAAAAGAACTGTCAGTGACAAAAACTGAAAACTACTTTTCAAGAAATAACTATGAGCTGCATATGTTTGTTGTATAAAAAGATTATGATGGTCATGAAGAAAACAATGAGCAATCACATGAACACATGCAGGTAGAACATTTCAGCTATACCTACACAAGTTCAAGGCTTTAGAAAATGTTTGAGTCCAACAATGCAAGTGGTGAAACTAAAGTCAGTTTGTGTCAGAGGTATGTTCTGTCTGTTGGGAGATTCACTTACATTCTTGGAATCCTATTTCATAGCTCAAATATACAAAGAAGTAGAATCATGTCAGTTCCTAGCCTTCAAAGTCTGCAATTTACTTGACAACAAGGCAGTATAGGTCACAGTAAATCATAAATTGTTTGTATCAGATTTAAGTGTCAGCTTTTATGCAGAAGATATGAAAGAAAAAGAAAAAATCAAACACTTACATTCTTCATGACAATCATGATCATTGCCACATCAATAAAGAGTGCAAGTAAAGTAACTACAGATGCTAAAAAGCCTGTTTCTAATCAGGAATTACAGAGAAAACAGCACCCACCTGTGATTTTTTATTTGCATTTGAGGGATATGATGATGGCAATAAGCAATGCTTCAGTGCATACAAATAAGCAAAATCAAGGGAAAAGTAATCATAAGTTTTGCAGCTATGAATATTAAATAATAATACACATTTAAACTTGGATGACAGAGATTGTGATATCTATATAAGCTTCACATGAGAGAAGCATCACTCCAATATGCTTAACAACAAAGGGCATGTCTTAGTATTTCCATGAAGAGTGGTCTGTGATAAGCAGTGTTGAAATCCAGAAACTAGCATCATACTGATACAGTCAATGCTGTAATAGACAAACTGGTTTTCATAAACAGGTTACATATGAAACAACTTTGCTGTCCAATGTGAAGACAATGGCTTAGTAAGCATTTCCTGTTTCTAAATTATTAAGCCAAGGCCCAAATGGTTAGCACAGGAACACGGGTCCAGTACCGAGTAGCCCACAACTGGTTTAAGTCCATCAGCATCAGATCCTTCTGCAGACGTGTCCAGAAGCCTTTGCACGAGTGAGGAGAGAGAACAGAGGATTCCAGAGAATTCCTCCTCAGCACCTGGTGAACCAGCGGCGGTCCGGTGGCTTTGGAGTGCTCAGACGGCGATGGTGCAGAAGGGAAAAATGAAGAGCGCAAAGAGACAAGTAAGTAAAACGTAAACTTTTCTTAATCTGATGTTATTGCTTTTTACTGAATCATTCTCACTGTTTCTGTTTACGGCTGGCTGCTGAGCACCTGCTGGATCTGGGATTGGGGGAGGGGTATATTTACATGAATCCTCTCAAGAACTCTGTTATTGATCACCTGATACAGGTAGAACAAACTGGTTCGCATTAGGAGCATTGGTTCTTTGAGCCTTATTAGACAACAACTGTGAAATACCTTTCAGCATAATGGCATTCAATCCAGAGCAACAAGCTAGGATGGTCAATGAGCACATAGATCTTGGAGTGCAGAATCTGAATCCGGTAGATCAACCTGTCAATCTCATGGATGCTTTCATGGACAAACCAACTGCAGGCGAAGGGTCAAAGCAGTTTGACCAGATTGGGACTCTTATGTCAATACAACTGTATGAGGATGATGATCCCACTGACAATTATGCGTTCGGGCTTCTGACCTACAATGCAGAAACATCCATTGAACCACTAGAAACAGTAGGTGCTGTGCTGGCCATGCTAAAGCACTGCTGGGTGAATTTGAGGGCAAACATGGAGGGGTATGCCACAAGAGCTGGAATCTCTTATCAGACAGTGAGGGTTCCATCTCAAGCGACTACTTTCAACTTGCCCCTGGAGCTAGCTAGGAGGTACAGTGACCCGGAAATGATGACAATCACAGGTTATTTGATCATGCTGCTATTCAAAAACATCAATGCTGTGAGCTACGACCAGTTCTTTTATAAGAGGATGTCTGCAATGAAAGCATTGGCTAGAGTGCCAACTACCTCCCCTATCGTGCCTCTGTTTCGGCTAGCAAAAGCAGGGCACATAAGACAGGTATTAGGTGCTAACAATCTGTTTTGCAGGGCTGTCATTCAGTGCTTGATCGATGAGCGGACGAGGGATGGAGAGTATAGCAGCTTCTGCGACTACATTCTGGACATCATTGCCTGGACAGGCATGAGTGCGTACCGGTGGGTCTTTGAGTGCTTGATGCTCAATGACTCTCCAATTTTCTTCAGTAGCATTGTGCGAGCTGAAGTATTGGCATTGAATGACGTCATAACAGCAATGGCTAAGTGCAGATATCCTGCATTCTTTCCTTACTTCGGAGCCCTTGACGATGTTAGCAAGTTGAAGAGAGCCAGGTTCCCAATAATTCTCTCTGTGGCAAGGGTCATCAAACAAAGAACCAATGCTCCTACTGCGAACCAGTTTGTTCTACCTGTATCAGGTGATCAATTACGCTTGGTTGAGGAGCTAGCTAATGCTCATCAGATGACTGTGGCTAGAAGGCGTGAAACACAACCAATGAAGCAAGCTAGACAACTTCTATGTGGACCTATCTAGCAGGGCGCTAGTGAGAACAGAGTTCTTGAGAGGATTCATGTAAATATACCCCCTCCCCCAATCCCAGATCCAGCAGGTGCTCAGCAGCCAGCCGTAAACAGAAACAGTGAGAATGATTCAGTAAAAAGCAATAACATCAGATTAAGAAAAGTTTACGTTTTACTTACTTGTCTCTTTGCGCTCTTCATTTTTCCCTTCTGCACCATCGCCGTCTGAGCACTCCAAAGCCACCGGACCGCCGCTGGTTCACCAGGTGCTGAGGAGGAATTCTCTGGAATCCTCTGTTCTCTCTCCTCACTCGTGCAAAGGCTTCTGGACACGTCTGCAGAAGGATCTGATGCTGATGGACTTAAACCAGTTGTGGGCTACTCGGTACTGGGCCCGTGTTCCTGTGCTAACCATTTGGGCCTTGGCTTAATATAAATCAGAATTTTCATTCAAGAACCAGCCAAGACAATTGCTCTCATAAACTGCTGTTCTGAAAAAGTTAAATACAGTACTGTTCTGATCAAATTGAAAAGGAAAATGTTTATTTTTACAGCACTTTCACCAACTCAAAACGCACTTTGAGGGATATTTTGATGATTAAAAAAATTAATCTTTATATTATAAAGAAAGAGAGAGATTGAAGTTAAAAAACTCGATGAAAAATAATACAAGGAATAGCAATGTCGTCGTACAGTGGTTTTGCATAGGAGAAAGTTATGTATGATAGTTATGGTGTCCCTCCTAACTCGCCATTGAAAAGGTTCAATTGGATCCATTCATATAATTTAGTAATGATGGGAGAAACAAGATTTTTCACAATAAGAAAACCATTTTCCGCAGGATCGGAAACTGTACGTAATTCGTGCTAAAGCAATTTCTTTAAGAAAATTAACGTTAATCTTTTGGCTGGAAACATGAATTCAGTGTCTTTTTTCATTCACCATTAGCTCAAAATTTCATCCATATCTCAAAGTTTCATCTTAAACGGTACAAAAATAAATAAAATCTAACTTGAAATTATTTTTATCAAAAAGAGAAACTTTCAAAAGAAAAACTTAGAAATATGGATGGTTGAGATTCTTAAAAGAGTTTAAGTTTCGTATTAAATAAAAATGAAAAAAATAAACACTATATAAAAATGAGGATTTATAAATTTATTATTTTAAGATTTTAGATTAAAAGCAGGTCTCGTGTTCCATTGATTTATATTTTTTTGAATAATTCTCTCTAAAAAAAACTCACTATTTAAATATTCTTTTATATTCAAGTGATTTAAATAAAATTATTAATAGAAGGAATATTATTTGTAAGAGAATAATTTAAAATTTGACTGTACGTTTAAACCAAGTTATTTTATTGAAGATTAATATTTTTAAAATTTACATTTTAAAAGACTAAATTTATTAAGATTAATATTTTGTAAAATAATTTGATTTGAATTGTAATTAAAAAGAATTTTATATAAGTTTCTATTTTAAAGACGTTTTTAAATAATTTTATTTAAAATTAAAAAAATATATAAAATATAAAAATATCCATAGTTATATATGAATATAAAAAAAGGACATTTTTACATCATACCGATAAAAATGCCATGAATAAATAACGTAAACTGATTTTTTTAGACAAGGACATATCTTATTCAAACCGTTATCATCCCTAAAAATTTAGACAGACATATCTAATCCAAACAGTTATCATCCCTAAAAATAAGATAACTTGAGTTGAGAGTATGAGCTAATGTCTTGAATATGATTGTGTGTGCAATTTCAGTTTGGAATAATGATTTTTCACAATTAAGAACAAGCTATTGTTTTTAACTTCCACTCTTTTTAAGAACAAGCTATTTTATGTTTTATATAAAATATAAAAATATCCATAGTTATATATGAATATATAAAAATGACATTTTTACACAGTACCGACAAAAATGTCATGAATAACGTAAACAAATTTTTTTAGACAAGGATATATCTTATTCAAACCGTTATCATCCCTAAAAATAAGATAACTTGAGTTGAGAGTATGAGCTAATGTCTTGAGTATGATTGTGTGTGCAATTTCAGTTTGGAATAGTGATTTTTCACAATTAAGAACAAGCTATTGTTTATAACTTCCACTCTTTTTAAGAACAAGCTATTTTATATTTTTATATAAAATATAAAAATATCCATAGTTATATATGAATATAAAAAAAGAACATTTTTACACAATACCGACAAAAATGCCATGGATGACCTAGACGAATTTCTTTAGACAAGAAATATCATTCCTAAAAATTTAAACAAAGCATATCTAATCCAAACCATTATCATCCCTAAAAATAAGATAACTTGGATTCAGAGTATCAACTAATGTCTTGGGTATAATTGTCTGCAATTTTAATTTGAAATAGTGATTTTTCACAATTAAAAACAAGCTATTGTTTATAACTTCCACTCTATTTAACGAAATTGATGTAACCTTTTACCCAATAACGCCTTCATTTTAGATTTCCGCATCAACGACTAGTACGGTTGTGGCATTTGGTTAACTTAAAACGGTATCCAGTTTATAAATTTGGTTAGCTTTAAGTAATATCCACTCACTCACTCACTCTGACCATTATTGTCAACTGTGATGTTTCTGTGACTGAATAGTGTGTAATTGGCATGTGAGCGCAAAAGCATGCAAAATATTCTTGGATGGTTCACCCACTGAGCTTACCACCAACATTCATCAACTGTAGAATCATCAGAGCCAACATCAAATCACACACATTTTTGGGTCTTTTTTCATTTTATTCATTCAACTTTCTCCACTCATTTTACAGAGTAGGAGAAGAAACAAACTGTCTCGGTAAACTAAATAGATCTTTCCCTTCAAATGGAGAACCCCAGTCCCGGGAACCAGCAGATGTCTCAGAAGAAGCTACTCCACCATCTTGCAGTCCAGGCAAGGGAACAATACTCCCATTTGATGATTGAGAAACGACTCCTGAAGCATTTGAGTCATACATCTGAGTATTACTCTTTGAAAATGGTGAAAATCCTAGCCATGAACCGTTTGACCTTGGTGAAGCTAAACTTCTATCCAAGGACCAGTCTATGTTAGTATAATCAAACTGCATTGACCCACCAGTGCTCCAGTCAACTGGAGAGGTTGCCCCTGATTGACCAGCTGATCCTAGTCCGGAAAAGAGTCCCAGAGAAGTAGCAGCAGCAAGCGTTGGGGATGCACCTGCTCTATTCCAATTGCTATTCCCTTGGCAGGTTGCTTGGTGATCTACTGAATTGCTGCTGCCACCAGCAAACTGTTGTTGAGGTTGATACTGAAGTTGGTGGTACCTTTGATTAGAACTAAGGTAGTTTGGACTGGGGCTTCTAGTGCTCGGGGCATGGGATAAAAAACCATTAGATCTCACAGCATCTGGACCGTTAGTTGTATACCAAGTAGCAGCTATTCCAGGAGGCGATGAACTCATAGTTGTCGTTGGAACTTGCTTTGCATTTACAGTTTGGGGCCACTGCATCATGATTAATGGTTCCCTGGATGCTACAGGTTGAAGGTTCTTAAACTCACCTCCAACAGGCACATAACGTGCTTCAGACTTAGCAGGCGGGGCTAATATTTGCAAAGGTGATTGCAGGGAATAAGAAACAGAAGAATTAGATCCTGAACTTGGCCACTTTTTATCAGCTGGTACAGCAGCCTGTTGGGGCTTAGCCCATTCAGACTTAGGTTGGATTCTCTTTACAGGTTGCACATTTCTATTACTGGAATCTGAAGGGACTCCAATTGTTATTGCAGCCTTTGTATAGTTAAATTCCTTGTCATCTTTTTTAGGTTGATTTGGTAAAGGAACAGCTTTTGTTTGTGGCCTTGAGCTCTGACTTCCAACTCCTGACTGCTTAACATTATTATTGATGAGAGGATCACCTGTTTCCTCTGGCTTTGGCGGAGCAGATGGGGGATCAAGTTTCAACTCTCTCAGGGTTTCAGCAGCCTTATCAAGATCACCGTCACAGTTAACAACTGCTCTTTCAACCTCCTGTTTTGAGCAATCATACCTGGTTACCATGTCTGCAATCTGAGCTAGCTCATCTGATATGTCAATTTTCAAATTGCCCCTACGTATGTTTGTATCCTTGTTACCATCTGTTTCTTCACCACCTTCAAACAGCCACGCTACTGATTCCTCGACCCTACCTTCGTTCAGTATCAGTGCCATTGTTGCTCTTTCATGAGAAAAGCCCATTGCAACAAGCTGCTGAGAAAGTGCCTCCAGTTTCCTCGACATGAGATAACCAGTACACCGCTCATGCAATTCCTGTGCTCGCCTTTCTTTCTGCCGTTGATGTTTCCTCTCATTTTTCTGGCGTATTTTCTCTCGTTTGTCATTATCAGCTCCTGGTACCGAGTCTGATCTAACAGGGGCATTAGAACTTTTCTCTTTATGTTCTTCGGACTCACCAGACCAACTACCATTGTTAGAAACAGAATCATACTCAACACCAGCAACCACTGAGTTGACAGGATGCTCATCTGTTTCATCTATGTTCCGAAAACGACCATTAGCATGTATAGGTGAGGTAGGTGTCGGTGAAATGTCCAGTGTATGGAATGTTCCTAATAAGGGGTTATATGCACTGGCTGGAACACCAGCCGATGCATTACCAGATCCTGTAGGCTTTGCAGCAGCTTTCTGGGCTTCCTTGCTAGTTTTTTTGTCTTTAGACTTGGATCGGGATGCAGGAGACATCATTACAATAGCCCTGTAACATTTAAAAAAAGTTATTGTGCATTGCTTTATAACTGACTACCAAATAAATACAGGATTAGATGTATCAACAAAGATAAACAAAAACTCTCACTACCCCCCAGAGCTAAAAGTATCTTCATATAACTTATAAGGAACATCATGTGTGTAGTAGATCCTTTGGCAAACGAGCAGCCACTTCTGAGTAACACACTACGCACTACTAAGGGGAAAATAAAACATATGAACAGAGGCAAAAAGAGAAAGCAAAGAAGTCAAAACAATAAGGGCGTGTTATAAAATTAAACAGCACAAAATAGTAGAACTTCTCCCTTTAACGAAGTTTTAGAAAAAAACTGTTTTAAGGAATGAGGAGAGGAAGAGGAAGGATTTCCTGTCCGTACACTCAATGTATTTTGTGAACAGAATATAATCGCACAATAGTTC